AGAAGTATATGTAAGAAGGAATTCTATCTTCTTCCTACAAGCAGCAGATGGTCTGGTGCACCCACGAGGCCCACTCACACCACACTAAGGTCGGGATACACTTCTAAGAACTGCAATAAGAAGCAGGTAGCCAAACTTGCGTAATAGCACTGCTATTTTGTTTGTAAATCCACATCATTCAGTTACTTATTCAACCTATTCCTATTCCTCTGAAGGAACTAATGTGTCTGTCATATGCAAAGTAGATGACACCCAATTAGTTCAACAATGCTGTTTGCATATAATGTAAATGAGGATTAAAAGCACCTTTAGATTTGACTTATGTTCCTGGATTTCAACAACAACAAAAAACAGTAAGACCAAAAACTAACACCTTTCTGTTATTGGATAATTAATTTTTTAAAGCTTTCAAAGCAGATAAAATCAGCACCTTAAAAGACTTGTCTTTAACCCGGGCTTTCTTTATTCGGGCTCTCTTTATTGGAGTGTACAATTGCAGGTGCATGCCTAGAGGAGCAATAGTTTGTTCCTGACAAAAGAGTCTGAATGCCACAATATGCCTCTTGCCAGAGGCATCGTTCCCCAAAGCACTCAGCTAACTGCATCTCCTGCTGTACCTGTAACAATTTAATTGTGTAAGTCAGCCTAGTCAAGCATCTCCAGCCCATGACTGGGAGACATGAAATTCATTGTCATTATTGTCCCTGTCATTTTGGATCATTATATCCTGCTGCAGAATTTTCCTCACTTCAGTGCATTCCTACCTCCAGGAGCCAGGGATTATAGCTGAGGTTGGGGCGGGGGCAGCACCATCAACTACATTTACCTCAGGGAGCCAGAGATTAAATTAGCTTTGCTCTCTCGCCAGCAGAATCCATCTATGTGTATGCTGTGAGTCTTACGGTGGAATAAAAATGAATATTCTAACAATTCCTGGGTTTTAATTCCCCCTTTGAAGCATGGATATAACCAACTTTTATCTACATTAGGAAAGCTAATGTAATTTTTTGTAGGTTGCCGTTTTCATAGGCACACAAGGAATACTTGAGGGCATTATCAGGTAGGAAATAACAGACAACTCTCTGTGTCCATGACTGGACTCTCAAAAGAAAGAATTTAGATCTGTAATTTTGTTCTCCAGTTGTATCTTAGGGAAGCTTAATGGGGGGATTTAATGGTTTCAAATATTTAATGATTTTTAGTTACATCTCACTTTTTGCGCACTGAATCGGATGACTGGAGTCCAAGAGGAGTGGCATCAAAGATCTATCTCCTCTGGGAACAGGGAGAGAGAAGTAAAGTTGACAGAGGAAGACAAAATAAGGTGCTGAGGAGACTTGCTTCCTCTCCACAGCTGGTTCACTAAATCTCACAGCCGGACAAGTCACCCAGGCCTGTCAGGCCTTCACCACTTCTCGCTGACTTGGGCGAGTTAGATCAGCCACACACTCTGTCTGGTGAACCCCTGACCAGGGGTCATGGCCATGGCCAGGGTCAGCTGGTGGCTCTTTAGTAGAAGATGGCAAGGAGCAGAGAGGCAACATCCGGACATGTCTCAGTCAGAAAACCAGTGAGCTGACTGTATGTTTCCTCTAACAGAATATAAGAAGAAAATACAAGCTTGTATGTCACTTCCTATTCCAACTTTCATTTCATATGGATTTTACTGAGAAATCTGACATTTACTTTGTCTGCACTGAAGAAGAAGAAAAAAAGGAAAAGGTAGCTATTCCTCTATATGCGTGAGTTTGTTTTCAGCAGTTAACAACAAAACATGCAATGGATCATACCTTTGCTGAGCCCAGCCACTATAATTACTACATTTTTAAAAATATGGAATTAATGCTGGGGAGGGAGGGCATTCATTGGGGGGGGGGGGGGGGAGCCCCACAATGATATATGTACAAAGATAATAATTTAATTTTAAAAATCTTTAAAAATAAAATAAATAAATAAATTAAATAAAAAATATGGAATTACTTTTGTGACCTTTTGGACTTGAATGGAGGGAATATATTTTGCCTTAATCATATGCAATGGTCATTCCTATTTATTTAGGATAAAATATCCTTATGAGTAATTAAGAAAAAAAAATTTTTTACCTTTGTTCATTTCATACTTCAGAGGGAACATCTTCAGCTAGCTCAACATCTCAGAATGATGATGTTTCAGCCATCAGTCCAAGTGAATGAGAATGTCTTCTAGTCCATGTCACTATATTTCCACACGCCTACATTTCACTTTTCATTGGTGCTGATATAACTGTCTAATGTATCACTAATAAGAGTTTTTTTGTTCACAAAACTTCTGGTAGCATTTAAAAGTTCTTTCAATTACTTGTGCCACTTTTTTGTTTTTAACATAATCAAGATTCTCCTAAGGTGAGAGGTATAAATATTACTTCTGTTCACTTGAAAATGGTAATTTTGTTACATGAATTTCACCTCAATAAATTATTTTTTAAGTTAAAAAAAAGTTATTTCAAGAAGCTGAAATGCATTTTTAAACTATCTGGATGATTGTTACTACATTCTCATAATGGTTAGTTATGGAGAAATTTTTTTTCTTGTTAAGAAAAGTTTATCTTATAAATAATAATTTTAGACCTTGTTTGCAAAAGTAAATGTTCAGAAAGTTATTTTTTTTTCCTCTGAAACACTTTGGTAACAGGCTAATGTTATTTTTTGATCAAGGGATAAGGCATTCCTTCCTTTCTCTAAGCATATATTTACTGCATTTAATTCCTTTACCTATATGCTCCCTTTTATACCTGATTTCCATGTTGACATTTAATTTGCTCATCACCATGTTCGGAAAATAATGGATAGGAGCTGTCCTATCTGTGAGCACAGCTGAGAAACCACAGAACTACACTTTGGTTCACATTCCTGTTTTAACTTACTGAATGACTGAACAACTCAGTGACAGAGTTGGCCCTGTATCATTTCTGAACAAGGATTAAAAGAAAACTATTTCAAAGGACCAGAATATAATTATTTTTATCCTTTCCATTCAAGACTTAAGATTTTAAAATAAATTTTCAACTGTCAACATAAAATTATTTTCATAATGATCTTTAAATTTTTCAATAATCTTTGCTAAACTCAATTTTGCAACCTATAACAAACTGTAAAAGCCAATTCTAAAGTAAAGAAATTTTTGTTCCCTTTTGATCCTAATAGGGTTATGTTTTTGTTTGTTTGTTTTTTGTGGGTGTTTTTTTTTTATTGGTTTTTTTTTTTTTTTTTTTTTTTTTTGCATATGTGACATAGATTTCCCTTTAAGAATCTAAATTCATTAGCCTGACCAGTGTGGCTCAATGATTGAACCCATGGACCAGGAAGGAGATCACGTTTCAAATCCCAGTCCCAGCACATGCCTAGCTTTTGGGCTCAAATCCTGGGTGGGGTGGAAGGGGGAGGGGAAGGAGCAGGCAGGAGGCAGCCAATCAATGATTCTCTCTCATCAACGTTTCTAGCTCTCTATCGCTCTCTCCTCCTCTCTGTGAAAAATCAATAAAATATATATATTTTTTTAAAACAGTAAAAGTAGTTAGCATCCTCACATGAACAAGTTTAGAGGGTCTGTGCAGGAGGGATTAGCCGTAATAGGCAAAGAATACCACACTTCCATGTCAGGATGAGTAGAATGCCTTCTTACTCCTCCTGGGCCAAACCTTCTTCAATGTAATCACCCAGTAAACCACAATGGACCAGCATTAGGGTCTGATGCTGAGAAAGCAAATTCACAGTTAAGGTTGACCATAACGAACAGGTTCCATCAATGGTGCCAAAAGTGCAGGTAAGTGCCCTGCACCCTCCATGGTGTTCACATACTGATGGGCACTGTCAACTGTGAATTTTCTAGCTTTTCATGTTTGTCTAAGATCCTTAACATTTCCCTAATGTTGCACCTAGGATATTTTCTTGAGTTTGTCCCCATTGCACATACACTTTTTGTATTCACACATGAAAGTCTAACAGACAGCTAAGTAGATTCAGAAACCTAACAATGTGGGGAGGCGGGGTGGTCTTGAGGATAGCCTATAAAATGAAGTAACATAAATATCAAAGCCTCCTAAATATATATAAATATTTTCACACTAAGAGTTTTAAATACCTAACATGAAATACAACATCACATAATGGAGATTTAAAAAACTCACTGAGCTACAGAACCTATTGTGTCACAAAATTTCAAAGACTTTTTGAACAAATACAATATCTATACCAGTTATTTCCTTGTAAATAAACACCTTTGGACTATTTGCTAATTCTACACACCCTTTTAAACTATAAAGAATTTCAGAAATGGCTTTTCCTGTTTTTACTTTATGTTGTATTGTGGTCCATCTGGAAATATACAAAATTATATTGCTCACACACAAAATGAACATTGAACACATGGCAAATGGACACTAAATAATGTCACTATTAGAAAACATCCAACAACAATAAAATAATAAGAACAGAGGGGTTGGTTTAATAAATGAGTGTTCATCCACCTTCATCATAAATTATATGTTCAAGAATTGTGTCCTGTGCAAACTACAAACATGTCAATTTCAGCCCAGGGCGCATTTTTCTCTTGGTTTCTAACCCCTTCAAAATAGAGGTTTCATCTAGAAAACCTAACGGATTCTCAGCTCCTTTCAACATTATAATATATTCATAAGGCAAGTAGTCACTGGCAAGCATATAACATATTAAATGACATGGAGGCGGGGGTCAATTCATAATGAGGGAAAATGGACCAAACCAACTATAAGATACAAAGTAGAAATCCAAGCAGAAAAGAAAAATGCAAAATTAAACCTATGAAAAGCAAAACACAATGCGGAGGTTTTAGTTAGTATTAGAGAAGATGATGAGTGGGTGTATTGTGTAAGATTCACATTAAAATGAAGAATGCAAAACTATCTCATTAAAAATATACTGTAAGGGTCATGAGTAAGAGTAAAGTACCTTGTAAAACAAAATAAAAAATAAAAAAACACATACCATCATAGTAGACAATTGCTCCTACCAGCCTGTCCTTCTGAAGCATGGGGAAATGCTCAAGGGCTCTCGATTTGCTGAGGATGTAACTGCTTTTCAGGCAATTACTGCCTGCTACCAGGTCGTATAGTTTGATTCCTACCCAGTAGTAAGGTAACTGCCACCACCTACAGCATAAACAGGGGAGAAGGTTTCTTTAGAAACAGTGTGTAACAATCACGGCATGCCACTTTATGTTATTAGATACATTTCATTTAAGAAAAGCAAAATATGTCTAGAAGTGGACTGCAAAAGAAACGGAACTGTGCTGCTGTGTTTGACACCAGCTCAGCTGAACTGTGTTAAGTGAATGAACCTGAGAAGGCGCTGGCTCTTGACCTTGTTGCATTTTAGAATTCTCTGGAGAGCATCAAAAATAAACACAACTGCCTAGGCTTCACGTGTCTGGAGATTGATTTAGCTAAACTAGGAAGGGGCCTAGGTGACTCTAATGGATCCCCAGGGTAGAGAATCACTGGCTTGAGGTGTCCTAAGCAATCTATGTCACGATACGGACAATTGTGAAGTCTGTTTCTAGGTTCCCCACAACACTCATGGCTAACAAAGTTACAGAACCCACTTTTTCATGTTACCTGTACTCTAACTTAAGGCAACTTCGTGAATAGCTTTAACAATATTAGGAAAATGGGTTTTGAAATGTATAATTTGACACTTTTTTTTTTTTTAAAGAATTATTGTTTATTGATTTCAGAGAGGAAGGGAGAGGGAAAGACAGAAACATAAATGATGGGAGAGAATCTTTGACAGGCTGCCTCCTGCACGCCCACACTGAGGATCGAGCCCGCAACCCGGTCATGTGCCCAGACCGGGAACTGACACAGGGCCTCCTGGTGCTTAGGTCGATGCTCGAGCACGGAGCCATGCCTGCCAGGCCATAGCTGACACTTCCAGACAACGTCCGGGCTAACGCACAAACTGAAATGACCCAGAATGATGTAGGTTTGGAGTTGGTACACGCTAGGCTCAGATTTTGCAGCAGGCTCTGCATTTTAGTCTTCACATGGGCCTCTTATGTTCCTCAGAGCAAATTATATATCCTGCCAGAAACTGCCATGAGGAATTACTAATTGCAAACACAGAACACCGCTTCCTTGCCTTCAAGACGTAGCCTTTGGAGGTTGGTCAGTAGGGAGTGATTTAGGAAAAGCCACCCTTTTCAATACAACAAAGGAAAGTATTTGAGCATGATTTAAAGATTGCGACTAATTAAAACTACATTAAGAAATACAAACTGAGGGAATGTTTCCATTAAAACCGTGTTGTTCTCTATTAACCCCAGATAAGCAATGTGTGCAGATGCTACCGAAATGCTTACTTGTAAACTGGAAGCATTATAGGCAGTGGAGCTGATAGATGGGGAGCAATTTCTAGTAGGTTGGCGCGCTCGTGAAGGGCTTCTTTCACCATCCTATACTGAAAAGCAAAACAGAGAAAATTAGTTTGGCAGAAACAGATCATAATATTTTCAAATGGCAAATAGACACCCCGCCAACTGATTGATACACAGAAACCTCTATACCTCTGAGTGAGGATAGCTCCCTCCTAATCAAATTTCTAATAATACATCATGCTGTCAACCGGAGAGATTTTTTAGAAACCTTAACCGTATTTGCATAGGAGAAAAACATGCTGTCAGAGCTCCCAGGTGTAAGATCTTTTCCTGACTGGAGTTACAAGATTATTATAACAATTTATCTTGCATTCTCTATATTGTCCCTTTCCTCGGTCCCCTGTAATATTTCCCCGTGTAAGAGAGAACAGATTGTTCCAATGCATGCTAAACATCGCCTTCTGGCCTCCACTAACCCAGGCAGAGACGATTCTTGGGAGTTGCACAGGATTTTATAGAGTATTATAAAAAAGGTTATCTCTTAACTCCTCTGGTCCTTATACCCTCTGAAGAACCAGCATGACAAGGAGGATACTAATTTTACAAATGAGAATGCTGAGGCTCCTAAAAATTGAGTAGTAAACTGGAACACATCCCAAGCCATCTGATTCTAAACCCTGTGTGCTCTTTTCCTCGCAGCCATCTCGATGTCACCAAGACACCTAAGAAAAGGGGACAGATTCACAAGTGACAATGTCAAGTTAGTGCTGCTGTGTTTTTCCCGTACAGAAGACAGATACGGAGTTCAGCTGGGGTTTTTTTTTTTTTCTTCTTCTTTTTTAGCCCTCTGGGAAATGTCATCTTCCACACTGCCTTGGCAGTTTTCAAGTGGTGGCAGACTGGACACAATAATGTGTGACATAAAAAAAGCATGACTCAGATCATCTTTCCTTAAGAATATGTCAGCGGCAAGATGAACGTATGGCTGCAGTCTGAGTGAAGAGGATCAATTTAATACTCCCCCTGTCTTACACAGCACAGCTCCCCGAAATTGCTGGGGAGGTAGCAATTTGGTGGCTGTTGGCAAACAAACAAACTAACAAACAAAAAGAAATAAGAAAAACCAGCAATCACCATTGTTTAAAAAGGCAGCACCTCCGAAAGTGATTTTGTAAATCTGCCACTTTGACATGCCTGTGTAGAAAAAGCCCCTGGTTGCCCATAAACGTTAATACCACAGGAAAGAACCGGGGCATCTCTCCTGGAAGATATTCCAGCAGGCTACACTAAATAGATATTTCCAACAGGAAGAAATGTTAGGAGCCATTGAAAAAAAAAAAAAAAAAAAAAAAAAAAAAAAAAAAAAAAAAAAAAAACCTGATTTAATTGGGTAGAAAAAAGCATAGTCGCAATTTTTGTTTAACAGCCAGCATACACAATTACCTGCTCGACGTCGAACTTCATGATAGCCTTCTGAAGATATCGCACACCACCGTGGATCAATTTAGTGCTTCTGCTGCTGGTCCCCGATGAGAAATCATCTCTTTCTACAAGGGCTGTTTTCAGTCCTGTGTAACCAGAAAACCAAATTAACTTCTTAAATTACACAATTTGTATGTAATTCATTAAAGGCCCTTCTCCAGGGTAGAGACAATCACAAGAAAAATTACTCTGAACATGGATACATTTGTATTCCAAGTGCGGTACACTGTCTATATTATAATGAAGAGATTTTAGTCTCTTCCTGGGGGAAAAGTCAAAGCCGAACGAGACGCATATTAAACGGCGAATGAATCACAACTAAGGAAATATTACAGCACAACTTGAGGGCAGTAACAAACTCCGAGGAGAGCCTGCACCCATCTTTACCCAGGAGGCTAACCCAGTCGTGTTTACAAGTCCTTCTGGAACTCCTATTCATCCCTCCCTCCGAGAGGCCAGACCTGTTCCAGCCCCACATCTCCAATCTACTCTAATGCAGCATCAACGAGCCTAGACTAGCCCTCACATGTGCTGGCTCCTATTTCTAGAATGGTGTTACAGAGGCTCTAAAATGGGGAAAGAGATCAAAGATATCACAACAGAAGAATAAAATTAACCCCTGATATTGAGGAGTTCCTGGTCTAATGTAAGACATCCAAGCATAATATTGTAGACTTACAAAGAAAAAAACAAGCCGGGACAAATGAACCCAAGAAAGGACAATATTCTTGGTAAAGGTGAGGCTGAGCAAAGAAAGATCGGTTTCAGAAGTCATCCCCCTCCCCTTTCTTTGAGGGTTGCAATAAATCTTTTAGAGATTAAATTGGTTTAGTTTGGTTTGGTTTGGTTTGGTTTTCTTGCAGAGACACCCCAATCTCTCCAGGACTGGGTAGGACTAGCTGTTCTGTGAGGTCCATACACTAGTTAGAGATGAAATTCAAAACTTCAAAAGGCCCCAAGTATATATCAACACCAAGCCATGAGGAATTTTCATGGCCTGGCATACTCTTGGGGATGAGAGAATGTCATGGAATCCAATTACAATGAGAATATGTAACTGGAGCAGTTTGGGCTCACAAAGCTCATATAAGGGAACTTGTGCGTGTATTCAATTCAGAGCCATTCATTACATTTAATACCAAAGGGTCGTTTTTATAACTTTTAACAGTTTAAATATCGTACCCAAATGTCATCATAAAATCAGGCCAATTCCCTTGACTCAAAAGGACAAAATATTTGGAAGCTGTGGAGAGGAAAGAAGAGAACTTTGATTCAAGGGCAAAAATTGCTAATGCTCTACCTAAGAAGCTAAATAACACAGAACTCACAGGTCCCTCTTTTTAAGCATTTATGGCAGAGAAAGATCTGTAAAATTCTCAAGTATGAATACCCTATCAGAGTTTAGTAAATGTAGTACTGGGTGTATTATAAAAAATAAACTATATCAAACTATAGAACTTATGAATAATGAGAGTTTAGTGCCAACTTAGAGCTAAGGGATGATGTCGGAAAGGAATTAGGCACGGACTGAGCTATCAAGTAGCTCCCAGCCCAACGGGTTTCAAGACAGAGGACTCTTACCTGACTCTGGCTTAGCAGGTAAATTCAGGACATAAGCCCCAAAGTGTGTAATCAAGATTAATTTGCATTCTCTTACAAATGCACCGTCTTGGTGAGCTATATCACCTTGCCTTAGAAAGTCCAACATAGGGAGTTTTTCCAGCTCTAAAATAGACTGCATATCTTCAGTTGTGATCAGGTTTGGGGGTGGGGGAGAGGGAGAGATACACTTTCAAATGACATTTAAGAGCCAGATTGTGTAATATATAAAGTCTTGGCATCGAGACGCCCGTGCCATGAGAGGCAGGGACCTAAGACTGAGAATAGTCAAGCAGCCTCCAAGCCAGTCCCTGGCTCCCCACTTGGGCCTGCCCAAAGGCATCCTGCTGGCTGTGGTAGAGGGCACCGTAGTGCCCCATAATCCCCACTTCCTACTATCTAATCCCTCACCCCGGTGTGTGGGCTGGACCTCGTGCCTTGCTTCTCATGAGTGGGGCAGAGCCAGAACGGTGGCACCTGACTTCTGTGTTAAGTTACAAAAGACTGACTTTCCTTGTCCTTTTGACTTGCTCAGAAGAGGCAAGCTCCCATGCGGAGTCAAGGAACGGCAGGACAGCCCAGTCAGCAGGTCATGAGGAATGGAGGCCGCCGGCCAACAACCTGTGAGGCCCTGGTCCTGCCAACAAGCATATGACTTGCTGGGAAGCACTGCGTCCTGCGAGAGGCTCCGAGCCGGAGGCAGGCCAGGGCACACGCAGACGCCTGGCCCACTGACACTGGGATGATAAATGTGGTTTCAAGCCGCTACATTTTAGGGTGGTTTATGGATGGTGCAAATCCCTAGAAGAACAAGAACGACAGCCAAGGCAAGGAATTTTTAAATTCCTGGGATGGGTGTTCAAGAAAGGCTGAGTCTACAGAGGAGTGTGTTGTAGAGAGGTAGCAGGAGTGGGGGTGCGGGGAAGGGGGGGGGGGGGGATTATTGGCCAAAATCAGCTTAATAGAAAGGCAACTGCTTGAAATGGCCTAACTTATGTAGGAACCACTGGTCCCTCCTCAGGGACTGGAGTGCAAGATTCAAGGGGCGATGGGAAGGACCCTGAGCAGGAGAGGTAAAAGGCCTATCATAAGAGGCCTTTTGTCTACTTTGGAGCACTTGGATCCTGTCCTGTGGGCCACTGTCTCACAAGTTATCCGTTTGGAAGAACAAGGGTGTGCTTGTTGATTTCTTTTTTTTTTTTTTTTTTTATCATTACAAAAAGAAGAATAAAACTGAAAATCTTCCAGAGTTTCTCAGATATTGTTCTTGAGAAATGTTATTGTGCTGCTTATCAGGAGAACCACCAAAGCGCTTTAAGCTGAGAAATCAGATGAATGTTCTAGAAAGTTTTCTCTAAGAGTGGGCCTGGAGGGCAGGGCTGGAGGAGGAGAAGAGCTGGAGGCAGCAGGGCATTTAGGCAGGGGGACCCACCAGAGCAGGAGCCGGGCAGAGGTGATCCCAGCTTTACAGGGTGGAAGATGATACGGAATGGGACAGGAAGAGAGAATTTTATGGACTTGTGTTAACAGAATACTTTTTTTTTCCTTTCCCAGACTTACAGAGCAAGGCAGGGAACTACTCTAGGAATTAGCAAGCCATCTCAGGAAGATATTTCAGGATGGATAAGTGAGACCTAACACTTTAAAGCATCAAAACTGCTTTTGCAAGTATTGGACATTTTAAAAAGTTATTCACATGTACGTATGTGAGAAACCCTAGTGAATACCAACAAAAGTTAAAATGGGCTTCTCTGTCAAACCACGCTGTTTTTCTTGTCCCATTATTTCCAGTGTCATATCAGCAAGCTGCCCACCAGGATTCCTGGTGAGAAATGGTACTGCTCCTCCCAGAGCAAAAAAAAAACAAACATAAAAATCAAATTGTAGCTACATTGATATATTAATGCAATGTCAATGCATTACCAAAAGTTTTGGGGAACCACAAAAAAAACTAAATATTCTAGAAAAAGAAATATTTAAAAAATTTAAACTGATGCTGTATGCTAAATGTTCTGAATTTCTTAGCTTTGTTGACAGGAATGAAAGATGGGGATCAGGGGACAATGTAAAGTCAAGACACTACTAGAAGTTATAACCGTTTCTCAAAATACATTCCTTAGCTGATTTACTATTATCTAACACTCATCCTGGCCTGTGGGATCTGACCAAAACTAGACATTCCCAGAGAAGTCCTGGTTTGGGAGAGGGCTCAGGCCAGGCCAAGGGACCCCACCAGTGCACAATTGTGGCCAGGGAGGAATATGGGAGGTTGCCAGCCAGAGAGCAAGGTCAGGAAGGCTCAGGACATATCCAGCCCATCTTGCTCAGTCCCAGTTGGCTGGATCCCAGCAGCAAGCTAGCCTATTGGTTGGAGAGTATGCCCCCTGGTGACCAGTGCACGTCATAGCAAGCGGTTGAGCAGCCTTAGCATATCATTAGCATATTGCGCTTTGATTGGTTGAACAGATGACCCGATGATCAGACACTTACCATACTAAGCTTTTATTATATAGGATGTTCCTTTCTGTTCCACCTCTACAAAGTGCAAATTTTTTTCTCCCCTTAAAAATTATTGATCTATAGAAAAACAAAATCCTGATCTAAAATTAAGACTTTAGTTTTCTGATACATTAAGTATAAAGCAAGGAAGTAAAAAGAGGGTGCTGTTTTATCTTCTCAAAGAGAACGGACAGTATTTTTCAGTGACAATCAATGTTAATATTTTGTATTCTTAAGGAAAACAATTAAATTTGAAGGACCTCAGAAATAGCATCCACAGGCTTCAAGCCTCTACTCCTGGCTGCATTTGTGAAGTCTCAAAGGCCTTCCTTCACAGCAGAGAGAATGCCTCCCCCATGGCTGGCAATGAAGGGCTGGCCTCCCTGCTTGTAGGTAATCCGTTCAACAAGTTCAAGATTTTATGAGAAATAGTTTTTGTTTCTTTCTTTCTTTTCAGATGTTACTTCTTTATGGAAAATAATAAGCTCTCTCACTGCTGAGATGAACCAGAACATTTACGATGCTATTATTGCTTTATCTGTTTTTATTATTGATTGCTTGTAGTAAGTATTCTCAGGAGTTTCATGACAGTGGTGAAGTATTAATAGTGGAGTAAAATTAGTCTGAAATTCTTAGGTGAAACAATAAAAGGATTATCTCCAGTAGAAGAATAGAGTCACCTTGAACTCTACCTTTCAGCCCTTTTAACTTCTCTTAGCAAGTTAAAATTATATCTTCTGCCGAGACCGGTTTGGCTCAGTGGGTAGAGCGTCGGCCTGCGAACTGAAGGGGGCCGGGTTCGATTCCGGTCAAGGGCATGTACCTTGGTTGCGGGCACATCCCCAGTAGGGGTGGTGCAGGAGGCAGCTGATTGATGTTTCTCTCTCATCCATGTTTCTAACTCTCTATCCCTCTCTCTTCCTCTCTGTAAAAAAAAAAAAATCAATAAAATATATTTTAAAAAATAATAATAATAAACAAAAATAAA